CCTTTGGAATGTCCCCCAACATGTAGCACAGGCCCTTGTACAGTAGAAATGTTCACTGAGTATTAAATCAACAGTCATTGAGTACGACCTGTGTGCGACATGTCGTACTGGGCCCTATTTAAATGGGTTAGCCACTGAAATAATGGGTTCGGGGAAGCACCTCTAATAGCTTACCTGCCAACCCTGAAGCTACCCCAACACATGTACATAAAGAGTACAACACAGAAGAAAACATCTTTGACGAAGAAGCTGTGGGATTCAGGATACGTGGCTCTTTCCAAATGTTGGAAAAAGTCCCTTCCCCTCTCATTACAAACAGCCGCAACAAGAGTGAGATGTTTTACACTGGTGCCCAAAGCAACGTCAACTACAGAATCACACAGGCTCCGCAAAGGGTCCGTCTTCTGGGCACCACCCTGCTCTCCACAGAAGAGGAAACCCTTGGGGAGAGTCTGGCCTGTCCAAAGAAGTGAGTGGGAAGGCTGCCCGAGGCAGAGAGGCCCCAGAGTAAGAAGCTGAGATGGTCCAGAACACCCGGACGTGTGCACGACACAGGATTTCCTCTACCGCGTTAAGTGTGAAAACTGGCAGCTTCTTGGAATTCACTACCACCCCGGTAGTGTTCACACGTGCTGGCAAAGCCCAATACCTTCCTTTGGGGCCCAATCAGCTTGGGAATGGTCTTCCGTTGTTTGTTTGTTTTTTTTTTTCCCGTAATCTCTATACCCAACTCAGGACCCGGAGATCAAGAGTCACGTGCTCTTCCCACTTCCCAGCCAGGCGCCCCTGGTCTGCCATTTTTCTAATGTTTCTGTTCAAGCACAGAGAATACTCAGGAGATGCAGATTTTAGTTCTGGCTCTGCCAGGTACTCCGTGATTGAATTCTAGTAAGTTGTCACAGGGAGATAAGAAGGCCTGCACTGCATACTTCTGAGGGTACACGTGAGGATGAAATCAGATAATGGAGGGGAAAGTAATTTGAAAAGTTAAAAGCACTGTACAAACGTACGATGGCAAGGGTCACACTAGAGGGAAAAGAGCCTCCACTGAAAACATGTGTGAAACAGAACGGGTGGTTCGGTCTGCCTTCCTTTCTTTATATTCCATTCCTTTCATCTGACACTTACGGATTAGGTACCTACTATGTGCAAACAGGAGACACGCACAAAGGTGAAAAAGCTGTAGACCCTGCGCCCGCGCAGTCTGTGAGGGAGAGGAACACGCTTGTGGTCCTTGGAAGGCTGTGGAGGTGCTACAGGCGTTCTATGCAAGTAGAGAAGAGGACAGTCTGGGGACAGGGGCAGAGGCGACAGAACACTCCACCTCCGAGAGGCTCTGAAGCCACTTCTTCCCTCATCGACTTAACGACAGCACTCTTAGAGGCTCTTCATTTCAGGAAGCGGCCTATAGGTTCTGCACGTTTTCATCTGAAAAGTTTTCCTGAGCTCAGGCAAGCCAGGAAATGGAAAAATAGTGCTCACCCATACATCCAATAAACATGTACGGACTGCTGGGGACACTGCTAGGGATACAGTGATGACCAGGATACAGTCCCTTTCTCGATCACGCACAGACTGGTGGGGTTACTGACAAGTAAACCAACAATTCAAGTACAGATGCTAATGAGGGTCAGAGGAAGGGCACCCAAGTCGGCTTGGCCGGGTGTGGGGGACTGTTCAGGGAAGACCCTCAGAAGAGGTGAAGCCTGCCCGACTCCGGAAGGATGTGTATACATCAGCCTGGTGGACGAGGCAGGAGTGAAGGGCATTTCAGGCAGAACAACAGTGCATACAGAGGGGCAGAGGCACCAGGGGCCAGGAGAAGCTTAGACATAGGAGTAAAGATGGACAGCCAGGTCCAGGAGGGCCTTCTAAGCCATGGCCCAGAGTCAGGCCTTTATCCTGAAGATGAGGGGGAGGGCATACAGGGTGAGAACATGGGGGTGGGGTGGGGGCAGATGGATTCCAAGGAGTATCAATATTTAAGGGGCAGAGAGAGGTAGAAGAGCCCAGAAGAGTCAGAAAATGATCATAGTCTCCACTTTTTTCACAACAGGCTTGGGTGGCACAGCGTCAGCCGGGATTATCCACTGCATGTCACAGGTGGCGAAAACAAGACAGAGGAAGGCTGAATGCCTGCCCAGGCCACCCTGGGAAGGAGGGAACCAGAACCTGAACTCACCCCTCGAGCTCCCAGCCACATTTCTCTGCATGGACCCTAATTTCCTTCGTTCTGAGTCAAACTTCTGGACCCCTAATAGAGGAAGATTTCCTACAGGACTCCTTTTTCCTTGTCACTTAAGCCTAAGAGCATCAAGGTATGTGGTTCCAGGGAAGGCTACGATCCCTAGAGACAGCTAAGCCAGATTGAAAAAGCAGATTATATTCCTAATTTTACTGAACTCTCCCTCCATACAATAATAATGACACAGACACAAGAAGAGAGAGGGGGAGACAAGCAGGAGAGGAGAAGGAAGAGCTTGACTTAGGCCCAAACAGTGGCTCAGTGACCTGAGATGTGAACATCAAACGCCTTCTTCCCAGCAGGGCACACCACTGGACCACCTGGCAAGAAGACACGTGGGTGCTCAGCGGATGAAGGGATGGGTAGATGGTACAGGAAGGCAGCAGGTACCCACTAAACAAACAGGGGGTGGGTGGGCTGCATGCACAGAGGAAGCAGGGAACAAAGACCTCTCACTCTTCAGGCAAAGTCCACAGTGTGCAAAGGGCATCAATACTGGACATTTCTCACTGTGACATTTTGAAAGCCCAGCCTAGCCCAGAACAATGGTTACCCTCTGGGGACCATGGGCTGCATGCCCCTAGGCCTTATTCAATGATGGCTGGCATACCCCATGTGCTTGGTGAACTTGACCTTGGGCATCGGCCTCCTATGATGGCCCTACGTCACTCTGGTCTCTTCCCCCACTGAGAATTCCAGTCTCGGATGAATGGATGGATTCATTCTGGGAGCAGGAAAACCACTCTAGGAGTGAATCAGAAGGACCCAGCCCCGCTCCCTTTGCCAGCCATTGAGCCAGAAACTGAGTGTGATTGTGTGCCCAGGCGCCGGTGCTGTTCCCCTCTCAGGGAGATAGGGTCAGGGTCCACGTAAGAGATGACGTAGAGGCCCTCTAAAGAGGAAGAAAAAGGAATCTCAGCTTTGAGGGACAAAGCCACCCTTTTGGTTCTGACCCTCACTCCAAGGAGGTGCCAAGTGGCACATGTACTAGTAAGTTAATTCTGCAGGATAAAAATCTCAGCTTTTGCTGAACAGGCTGTTGTCAATTTCAATTCTCTGCAACCTGACAGGCCTTAGGAAACAGGCTATTCCTTTTTCAGAAAAAAAGCCCTCCTCAAGACAGGTGGAAACAGCATGCTTCAGATCACCAAGAGAATCTTTTACCCTGGTCTCCGCTCTGTTCTTCTCCCGCTTTGTGAAGAAAAGATCGATTTTTAAAATTGTAAATGCCAATCTAAGCAATACAACGCATTTGTACTTCCTGGTTTTTACCCTGAAAAATTAAGCAAGAGGACTCCAAAGATTCCTAGATGAGGCTGGCAAGAGGACATCTATATCACAAGGTCGGGGGACCCAGGCTGACACTTTAAGGAAGTAATTCCTCTAGGAAAGGGAATTGAAGGATTGCCACTTTGCTCATCACTAACCAGGTTATAACAAGATGGGAAAGTTAGCTTTTTAAGGCTCTAGCCCCCTATCGGCCTCCTGGAGCAAAGATGGAGGAGAAAGGAGCAGCTCCTGCCAGGGCTTATTAGGGCATTGCTCCCGGCTTCCTCACGTGCTAGCACCAACTGTGTGACATTTGTCCACCAATCTTTGTCTAAGAAGCAGGAGGGAGGAGGGGACAGAAATGGTCTACATTTTACATTAGAGAATTGTCCTTAACACGGGCTGACATCCGCTGCTTGTGGCCAGAGCGTAGTTTCCACTAATGGTCAAATGTGAGCCTGCGAGAACCTTCCTGAAGGATATTCGACTATCTTCATTCATTTATGACTAGTTATCGTACACTTACTTTGTGTAAAGAAACAGGCTAGACTATGAGGACAGAGTGGCAAACACGTTCCCTATGCTAACGGACCTTGGATTCCAAGAGGTTTGATCCATCTTGTACATCTCTGGGGGTCAGTGTATTCATATAAGCAAATGATAGCTGGACCCCCTGAGGTTTGGGGTTGTGGATACGCAGGTCCTTGGGCCTGAAGGTAAGGCCCTTTGGGCAAACCGAGTCTTACAAAACAAATCAACCATTATATATTATGAAGTCTCTACTATGAGCCTTCATCTATTATGGGCATCATATAGCAACATGCCTTCCTCTGAGCTGTGACTCTGCTACTCCGAGACACCTTTACGGTCTTGTCTCATGGCCCGCTAGTTCCCACAATGTTTAAGCTTACCTATGTCTATGTTCAAGAGAAAACAGTGAGTGGGTAATGGCCCTGTAAATGATTAAAACGAGTTCAATCCCACACTCGGAGTGTGGGTGTGGGTTTTCGATTCTGGACCCTTCCAAAAGGGAAGCAAGTTTTGTCTTTTGAAGACTCTTAAGTGAAAGCGAGTGGGTTTTTGATCAGTGAACTGGGCCCCCAGAGTGAGGGCCACAGTTCTGGGGCTACGGGAGCCGTGGAGAGATGTCCACAGGGGAGAAAGAAGGCATTTTACTCCACCTCAACGAATATTTACAAGAGATGGAAACAGGAAACTTCCTCACTCCAAGCAGCTGGGAGAAGACGGGGCAGGTTCCATGTAACAGAAAGAGTCAGGAAACAGACGCGGGATCCCAGGCCAAGGGGATTCCCCCGCCCCATCTCCCGATGAGTCCTGCCGAGAGACGGAGCCTCCGGGAAATCACCGGTGCAAGGGCCCTCGAACGACCAAGGGCGGAGGGTCCGTGCGGGCAGGGCGGGCAGCGCGGGCGAGGGGACTCAGGTGGGCGCGGGCAAGGCGCTCTGCCGCCCTGGGCCTCACTCACCAGCTCATGGTCCCGAACCTGGCCCTGCCGCCGGGGTCCTCGGCCGCAACTGGGTCCTCAGGGATCACTTCCGGATTCAGCCAGTCTCCAGGAAGTGACGTGAACCCCGCCCCCTGTGCCCGGAAGAGGCGGGGTGGGCGGGGCCCGAGGCGTTAACCCTTCCGCGGCTGGCGTCCCGCGCAGTTGCTCGGGCCGCAGTTGCTCGCACCTTCCCTTAGGGTCTCTGGCCTCAGCCTGTGGCGGCGGCGTGGGGACCCCCGGGTGCGTTTTCTGCCTGAGATATTGACTTGTAAAATTCTCATTCGCTTACTACACGTGCCTCTTAACCTTGTTATGGCCTCGGTTTTTGTCTGTAAAAGAGATTTCTAATCCAGAAACAGTAGCAGTCCTTGTCTATGGGGGAAGAGGCAGTTGGGGAGCCACTGGGAGGGATTCACATTCACCGTATGGTCTTTTGTATCTTTTAAATTGTGTACCCTGTACATGCCTTACCTGTTACAAAGACACAAATGGATCTGTTCGCTTCTTCAAGATGGCACCAGGCTCTGAATATAAGAGGTGCTTTTCCGGTTGGCAACATTCTGTAATTTTACTCAAGGAAAGAGAGCAAAGAATAAGGGTTGCTCCATGTCTCCCAGTCCTTTCCTCTGCTCCCCTTTACAGAACCCAAATGATGTGAATGGTCCCATTCTTTTTACTCAGTCATTTAACAAATATTCACAGAGTTCCGGCAATGTGCCAGTCACTGTGCTAAACTTAAGGCTACAACCCTGAAAAAGAAGTATGGATCCTGCCCTTATTCCCTCCCAGACCTAGGTACCTGGAGGGAGAGGTAACTGGCAACTAAGTAATCACATATGATGGGGAGGACAGGGTGCTGTGGCTGCCTATAAGGGGCTCCTGCAAGCTGCTCATGAGTTTTAGTGATGACTTCTCGGAGAAGCTGATGTGTAAGCCAAGTTCTGGAGGCAACTCAGGCTAGCCAGTTTAATCGGAGATGAGGGCTGGAGAGAGTCCAGGCAGAGGAAACCTGTTTTAGCTGAGAAGGGTACTGAGTTCCAGACAAGCGGCTCACTCTGGGTCTCTGAAAGTCAGAATTCAGGGCCTTAGTGCCTCATAAGCTGCCTGGGGCCTTGGGCCGTGCGTGTTGGTGTCCTCACCCCCAAGAACCTCCCTACCTTAGAAAAGCAAGCAGCGAGAACTGTGCTGGTAACTGCTGGGCCCACAAGGGCCCTCTCTCTGGGAATTCTCCTCCAAATGGATCTCAAGTGTTTTAGGGTCATTTGGAGAGCAGCTAAGCCACTGACCAGAAGATGTGCATTACTTGTTCTGAGTTCCCAGGGGAGAGTAGGTGGCTTGGTCAGGAGGAGTAGGGGGCCTCAGAGGATCGTCCACAGGAGATGGTCTCTCGTTTGTGTTTTCTGTTTCCATTGTCTAGTGTTTGACTCAACAGAGGTTTTCCAATAGAGGATGGGTCCCCAAGTGCATTCCACACATCAGCGTCATCACCATGTTATTCCTCAGGAAACAGACCAAAATGAGCACTAGAGCAACCTGAAGAATAAAGAGGAGAAGTCACCAAAAGGCAGCCTGGACAGAGAGTAGGGAAAGGGAGGGACAATCCTTACTGCTTTGTACGAGGTGTGGTGGGTGGATGAGGGGTGCTGTGGTTTATGAACCTTCTGGTATTTTAACAACCGTGGATGGCTCTCCCACCTGCTTCTTCCTTTTCCCATGCTCTGTGTCCCTTAGTTATTGCCCCAAACTGCTAAAGAATTTCCAAAAGTATCAGCCTAGGCAACCACCATAACCCAGGGGAAGTCTGTTTCAGGGCTGCGGGTAGCAGACACATCCCATAGGACAAGAATGATGAGTTCTGGATTAAGAGTCTGGAGGATTCCTGAGCTCTGGTTCCATCTTTGACACTAGGACTGACCTCAGGAAGTCACATCCCCTCTCTGAGCCTCGGCCCCCTTGTCCAGAAGATGAGTGGATGGATAATATCACCAAAGTTGCCAACACTTTGAGGTTTTAAGTTGACTGTCTTGTAGACTGAAGAGGTCCTCAGGAAATAGGAAAATAGGGGAGGCCTGTGGGATGGGGCCTGAACAGAAAGGCAAGCTGAGAGAAGTGAGCAGCTCTGAGGAATCAGTGACATCTCAGGGTGGGGTGGGATGGGGGGAGGGGAGAGGGAAGGATTCAGCCTCACGCCCAACGAGGGCTGTGCTGCTTACCCTGGCTCTTTAATGTGGCCAGTAGGAACTCTGAGGGTCCTGGAAAGAATTCTGGCCTTCTTGGAGTCTGTCTGGAAAGTGCCCTGCTCTCACTCCTTCTCTCTGGCTCATTTGCTCAGCTTGAGGTGTGCCAGGCTGAGGATGGATGGCCAGGCACCCTGCTGTCCTATGGACCCCCAAGCTTCCCTCCATGAGCATGACATGCCATGTCGCATTGATTCCTGGGGAGCTGAACACGTGGAAGCATAAACACCTCCTACTGTCATAGAAAACTCAGCTGCAGGGTCTCCATACCCAGGGTTGGGAGCTACGTCTTTCTTCTGGGAACCAAAGGACAGCACCATGCAGGTCAGGTTGATCCTGCCCCTTCAGGGGAGAGCTGGAAGAGGAGCAAATTCAGCTTCTACGTGGCAGCTGGGAGTGGAGAAGTTTCAGACAGAGGTGGATGCTCCTGGATGCAAGCCTGGTGAATACTGCTTCCTCCCCCAGAGTCTGAGCCTGAAGTTCAAAGAGTGTTCAGGTGGCAGAGATCTGCTTGGGCAGACAAAGTTCTGTACCAGAGGGCAAGCAGCCAAAGAACCTGTTCAGCCACCACATCCCTCACCTCTACTCTGAAATTGGTAAGCAGGTGCTCCCCACTGACTCTCCTCTCTGGGCTTGTCCAAATGCCCTCCCCACACAGAGGTCTAGGGCTGACCCTCTGATTCTTTCACCATGCCAGCCTCTAATCAGCTAAGAGCCAGGATTCCAGAACTGGAGCTGGGTCATTAGGGACTTCATTACAGTGTAAGGGCTGAGACTGAAGGGATTGACTTTAGGGGCCGAACTGATGGGCTGAGTTCCTTTGCAGCCCTGAAAGTCTTTGTGCCCCGGGAGGCTCCTGCAGCATAAATTCAGACCGAGACCCTCAGGTTTCTATATGGTTTCACTACCCACTTCCCTCTGCTCTGTGTCTGCTCAGCAAGATGCCCCAGAACAACAGGGTTCCCTGAGCAGCCATGGGCCAAGGACATGAGAGAGGAGCAAGGGTGGGAGGATATGGAGGATATGGGGGTAAAAGTTTCCAGTAGTGGGAAGCACAACTCAATGGCTCAAATGTCGGGGTAAAGTGGCCAGTCAGAGGCTGGGCTAGCTAAGCAGTCGGGGCCAAGAATAGCTGTCTGGACCCTGGCTCTATCTCCAGGTAGCTTGCGGGAGTCTCTTCCCTCTTTGGGGTCTCATTTTTCTTGACTGTAACATAAAGAGTCTGGGTTAGATCTGGCATGGCAAACGGATGCCATCCCACTTGCCATCTCGCATTGCTTGTTCCTGGCTGCCTGGAGTGCCATACTGAGGATTCTGGGGAATCTGCCATTGGTGGGGAAGTTCTGTGATTGATTAGCAATGTCTGCCTTGGATGACTAAGGAGGTACATTCTACTTTATTATTGAGTTGTTATTATTTTTATTATGAGTTAATAACTGAGCACTCACAATATGCCAGGCGCTGTTCTAAGTGGTTCCGTTTTCGTTGTTTGCAATGACACTATGAAATCGGTCCTATTATGGTGATCAGCACAAAACATAGCTGGTAAGTAGGGAGATGGAATTCTCCCACCTGGGCCCCCTGGCCCTGAGCCTTATGTTTTTTGTCACTGTGGTGCACCACCCTCTTACTGCTGACTCCTGAAGTTCCTACTTCTATAGACAACCTATAGTTCTGTTGAGGCCAAGTGGAAAGGAGCAGCACGAACACTGAATGGCTGTGTTGAGGCTGGAGGGGGGACCAGCATGAGACCAGGCACCGAGAGGGATTCAGGGCTCGGCCTCATCCTGGGAGCTTTTATATGCTTCCTCCTGGTTGGCTGGAGAGCTCAGGACCAGCAGGTGGCAGCACCTGGCAGGGTGAGAGAAAAGGGCAGATTCTGGACTTGGCAGGCAAGTCCTTCAGGGATCAGACAGCCCAGATGTCGAGGAAAGCAAGAACAAAGGAGGGTGTGCAGGAAGGCTAGCCAAGGGCCAGGAGGAAGAAGGTCCAAGCCTCAGACCCACAGGGAGCTCCCATGGCCAATGCTTTAGTTCCACCCGCAGCAGGAGCCTCTCAGCTTGCATTTCATGGTGCCTGCTGTGGGCTTTTTTTTCCTCCACTCTGGGAGAATGACTAACTTTAAGGACTAAAAAAAAAAGTGTTTTGATTACACTGCCTTTTTACCAACTGGGAGCATTAGTCACCGTGGATTGCTGCAGATAACGGGGAAGGCAAGCAGCGTCCCCCTCCTCCCCCTCCTTCTCCCTGATTAGCTCGCAGAAGCCAAGGAGGAGCCGTCAGTGAGAAAGAGCGCACCCAGGAGGGAAAACAATCCCCCTGGACAACATGTGTCCCGGGCATCAGTCCAAGGGCTGCTCCTCCAGGCTGGGCAGCCCCCTGATAGCTCAACCCATAATAGGAGGTGCCCACTGGAAAGGGAACCGGCAGGAGGAGCACCGAGCCCATGCTCCCCTGGGGTCTGAGTTGGCTCCAGGTGGCCTGTTCCTCCAGGTAGGTCCAGGGTACACCTGGAAAGAGGAAGGCAGAGGGAAGTCACTGAAGATGCTGCTCCTGAGGTGGGGCATTGGTGGCTGAAGAGGATAACGGAGCCCATGATGGCTGTGACACAGGGCTGGTGCCCAGGCTGTGGAGAGGATAAAGAATTGCTCCCTTGGACTGGGGCTCTCGGGGCTCAGACTGGGGTTGAGCAGCTCCTGCAGATGGGGACGGGTCCCACTTTCCACGCCCTCCACTCCAGCATGCTCCCTTCCTCCGCATCCTCGAGGGGGCAGTAGCTGGTACTTTGGGTGGCCTTTGCTCATGCTTTGGTGCTGATGGGGCACGAGAGCCGCCGGGGCGCTC